TTGAACGTTTTAAGGCAAGACTAGTTGCCAAAGGTTATAATCAGGTCTATGGAATTGATTATTGTGACACATTCAGCCCAGTAGCAAAGTTAACTTCAGTGAAAATGTTATTGGCAGTGGCATCTGCTCAAAACTAGCATTTTCATCAAATGGATGTAAACAATGCTTTCCTCAATGGAGATTTAGATGAAGAGGTGTACATGGAATTGCCTCCTGGCTTGAAAGAACAGGAGTAGTATAGGGGAAAAGTTTGTCTATTAAGGAAATCTCTTTATGGTCTAAAGCAGGCCAGCATAATGTGGTATGCAAAGTTAACTGAAACTTTGCTTTCACATGGTTTTAAGCAGTCCAGTACAGATTGCTCTATATTCCTTTCCACTGTGAAGAATTCATTGGTTGTCTCGATAGTATATGTTGATGATATTGTCATTGGAAGCATTAATCTGGATGTAGTAAAGGCAGTTAAAGAGATGCTGAAGTCAGTGTTTAAGATGAAGGATATGGGTAACTTGCAATATTTTCTTGGCCTAGAAAGAAACAGAGTTGATGGTGGTATATATGTTAGTCAAAGAAAGTATTGTCTTGAGCTGTTAAAGGAAACATGCTTTGATGAATGCAGGCCTGCAAAACTCCTTCAAGTGTTAAACAAGTCCTGCCAGCTCAAGATGGGGAGCCCTTTCATGATGTCAGTAAGTTTAAACATTGGCTTGGTCAGTTGCAGTATTTGAATACAACTAGGCCAGATATTACATATGTTGTACAACAGCTATGTCAGTACCAGGATTCACCAACTACAGTCCATTTCAAGGCCTTGCAAAGAGTTTTCCGTTATCTTAGAAATGCACCAGGTCAAGGATTGTTCTATCTACACAACTCTAGTATGCAATTGACAGGATATAGTGACTCAGACTGTGCCACTTGTCCAGATACTAGAAGATCAGTTACTGGTTTTTGCACCTTCCTGGGCAGAGGACTTGTTAGTTGGAGAAGCAAGAAACAAAGAAATGTATCAAGGTCGTCTTCAAAAGCAAAATACAGGGCTATGTCACAGCTCAGTTGTGAACTTCAATGGTTGGTGAGATTACTTAGTGATTTTGGAGTTGATCATTCTCATTCAGCTTTGGTTTTCTGTGATAACCAGTCTGCTATCCATATAGTATGAAATCCAGTCTTCCACGAGAGAACCAAGCACATAGAAGTTGATTGTCATGTCATAAGGGTACGTGTGCTGAGTGGTTTAATTAGTTTGCATAATTTACCTACTAATAATCAACTTGCATATATGTTTACCAAGAGTCTGGGAATTGATAGGTTCAAGATGTTATTGAGCAAGCTGGGAGTATCAGATGACACTCGCCAGCTTGAGGGGGCGTAATGAAGAACAGATCAATCATAGACAATGACTAGCAGCAGCTCGTTCTTCAGTCTTCCAGGAATGTGATGAAGCTGTTGCTGATTATACTCTGCCAAGAACAATGCACGGAACGTCGTCGTTCTCCATCCATTTGAAGTCAACACTGGACTTTGTCTTACGATTCAGAACGCTGTGTTCCACTTTGATCGAGTAAATAGTCATTAGACCATCACGTGTATAGCTTTGGTTGGTTAGATTAATTGTTAGTTTTTCTGTTTATACATAGATTATCCGTTAAATTTCTTTTACTCTGTAAATGGTTTTGGCATTATAAATAGCAAAGCAGAAAACGAAGACTCTCTCACTTTGAGATCCCTTCCCCAAAAACCCTATTTTTCATGTCTTCTCATGGTGGAGCTCCTTCCGTCCCTTCGCCTAATGAAGAGTTCGGCGGCGGCCTGGAGAATTCGCGGCGGTCGATGCAGAGCAACACAGGAAGATCTCTTGCTCCCCAATCATTTGACGATGGCAATGGAGAAGCATCGGTGTTGGTGGAGACAAAGGCGAGAGGGAAAAGATGAAGAAGATGTTGAGTTCTTTTCTCCTTAAAGTTCGTTTATGGCGAAGAAGAGAGATAAGAGAGAAGGGGAGGAGAGAAAGAGTTGGGTTGCGGCCAAAATATCGTGGAGGTTAGAGAGAATTAGTCTAGGATTTATTTTTTGGGCTTGGAATGAGGAAGGTAATGGGTAAAGATTGGCTGGTTTGAGAGATGGTTGGAATGTTGGGGTGGCCTAGAGATTTTCAGGTATGCATATCGAACGAGGCCGGGGCGGATAGTCTGATATTCAACACCGACCCATCCCCGCTACCGTGCATATTCCGGGTTTCCCCGAATCCGGCCCGTATCCGATATTAACGGGTTTCAAAGCGGGCTTGACTGGGCGGGTGCGGGTTATACCCAGTATTATTTTACACACTGCCATCCCTAGATCCTGTGGGAGGTGCTTGGGTTTCTTTTTTCCATGATTGTTGGATGTCTGGTGTTGTGCTTGTTGATTCTTTCCCACGTCGTTGCTGTCGTGTCTAGCCCTGGAGCCTAAATTTTTTATTCGGCTACCTGCTCAGGTGAGATAGTGAGAGTATCTTTGAAAGGGGCTGAGAGGGACAGAGTGACTTTGATTAATAAGCTTGACTCTGTTGGTGCTAGTCGTCAGTGGCACGATCCTTGTCGGTTGGTTTGGTCTCCAAACCCCGATGATTCTTTCTATCTTCGTTCTGTGAATAGGTTGCTTGTTGAAAGCATGTTTCCCGGTTATCTAGATTTCTTAGTTGCATAGTTGCATCTGTGTGTAAGGTTGTTATTCCCTCCAAGGTGTGTGGCTTTTTATGGCTATGCTTCCACAAGAAATTATTACGCTAAAAAATATGAATGCTTGCCAATCGATGCAGACTCATCCACTGCAAAGAAGAAAGGATCTGTCATCTTCTTGTTGATTGTTCATTTGCTCGTGATGTATGGAGTTGAATCAAGAAGGTCTACAACACTCTGAAGCCTCACACAGATGATATCAGCTCGGTCATTCATTGTTGGCTTTCATATCAGTCAGATAGTGTCAATGGTCGGTTTCATATATGTGTCCTCTATGTTGTCTGTTGGCAAGTGAGGTAGGAGAGAAATCGGTGTTTCTTCCAGCAAATTCATCTTCTTACAACAATCGTGGCTCGTAAAATCATTAGTCAGAGTAAATAAAATACCTAATATTATGGTAAAATCGAATGGGTTGTGGCACGTGGTAAGGTTGTTACGGGTCAAGGAATTAGTCAGAGTAAATAAAAATTCATCTTCATACATCGAATGGGTTGTGGCACGTGGTAAGGTTGTTACGGGTCAAGGAATTAGTCAGAGTAAATAAAATACCTAATATTATGGTAAAATCTGAACCCAAACATCATGGGTAATAAGTGGGTATTAGAAGTGGCAATTTGAATCCAATTCATCTACTAAAAAATTCAATTAATTCAATCCGTTTAATCAAAATTAAATTGGATTTATGAATTCATGAATTTGTGACAAATTATAATTAGCACCTGTATTTTTATACTTTACAATTTGATACCTAAATTTTAAATTTTTTATGAAAATAATCAAATATCATTGAAAAATTATGTTGGTACCTACAAATTTTTATAATAATTTTTTTTTCTTTTCGTTCATAATGATAACATTTTAATATCTAAAATTTTCACAATTTTTAGTAATGTTCACATGTTTTTATGCAACTTGGATCCAAAAATCCACTAATCCAATCCATTTTGATATGGATACACCAAGCCATTTACCACCTCGAGTGACATGATTTTTCAACTATCCAACTTAAATCCACTCAATTATACAATGCATATATAATAATTGTATTATTATTATTATGGTACTGCTTAAGGGATTCGAACTTGAGATCTTCAGTTTCATAGCTAGTGGTGTTACCACTAGACCAAGCCTTTGTTCGTTTTTTTCAACTTATTCGTATTCCTCATATATTTGTAGCATCTCACGAACAAATGTTCCTTTTCATTGTTTCTCCTAGTATTAGTGATTTGTAATTTATATTTTTGTTCACTTTTCTAGTGTTAAATTTTTTTTTTTTTGTGAGAATTTATAGTGTTAATATGCTTGTGAGTTGTGATATACTAACACAAAAGTTGAGAATATAAAGAAAAGGCAAAATACACTTCAATAGTCACAACTTTCACGTTTGTGTCACTTCCGTTCATCCCCTTAACAGTGCCACTCAACAGTATGACTGAACTTACGAAATTGCTGAGTAGGCGATCCACATGGATTAACAAAGAAAAAGAAAAATACACTTCCATAGCCACAACTTTCACGTTTGTGACAGTTATAGCCACAACTTTTGAAATACACAAAATATCCACTTTCGTCCATCCTTTTAACGGTGTCACTTAACAGTATGACTGAAGAATGATGTCTTATTTCCCAAATTGCCGATTCAGATTCTAAATCGCTAGATTGAAGGAGAAGTCCTCGAACACTTGGCAGAGTACAGAAAAAAGGATGTTGAGAAGAAGATGATGACGACCGCGAGGAAGAGGGCATCGACGACGGTGGTGAAAGAGGAGACAGTTTCTTCGGTGGAAATAATGAACGATGTGTCGGGAAGGAAGGACGTGGCTATTTCGTGTATTTCGAAAGTTGTGGCTATATCTGTCATAAACGTGAAAGTTGTGGCTATGGAAGTGTATTTTGCCTAAAGAAAAAGGTTCAAACTGTACTTAAACTTTCTATTTTGGCCCGTGGTTTTTGAAATTGCTCCCCTGGCCCCAACTATGCACCATACTTTCTTGCTAGGCCCGCCGCGAGTTTTGACCGTCAAATTGGACGATCAACACCATTGACCATTAGTCAAATACCATGTCACTTGCCACTTCACCGAACTCGGAATAAAAACTTTGAACTTTGAATTTCTGTAATTATTTTCGTCATCCAAAATTTTGAATGATTTTAGGTCAAAATAAGGTTTGGAATAGTTTAGGTCAAAATAAGGTATTAACCCAATGAAAAATTACTATCTAAATATCTATGAATACCCAAAATTCATAAGGTAGGAATATAGTTCTAATTTAGTACCCCGAATCTTTTATAAGTATATGAATATGAATGCCTTCCCTAAACAACAACCCTCTCCAATCGTGTATCTTTTGAAGACAAGGTTGGAGGCCTTTGGATAACCAGTACCTTCATGAGCTAGCCATCCAGTAAAAATTGCTACCTACTTCTCTTCTCCATTTCACTGCATATCAGCTGTACCACATCTCTGATTCTATTACTCTAAGCTGATACAAAGCTAAAATAAATGAATATCAGCACGTGGGATAAACCTTTCATTATAAATCTGTCTGTATGTAGTTGTAGTATGCGGGACTTCCACTGCCAGTGCTGCAATAGCTGTTTCTTTGGAGGTAGCCGCCATTCACACATGGTCAGCCGTTCACACATAATCCAGAGTGCAGCACTACTTCAAATATTGTTATGGTTCATGATGAGTGGGCAGTGCTCCCATTTCCACTGAATGCCTGAATTGGGTCATAGTCAGCACACACCAGCACCCAAACAGGGACCAACACCAAATATATAACATCTGTAACTTGAGTCTTAGTGAGCCAAAGCAAACCAAAGGAAACAAAGATGGAGAACTTCAGAACCCATCTCCAGTTTCTGCTTTACTTCCTCCTCTTTCTTCATTCTCTTCCCTTTTCATATGCCAAATGCACTGATACAGAGAGAGAAGCATTACTTGCCTTCAAGACCGGCCTTACAGACCCTTCAGGCAGGCTTTCTTCTTGGCGAGGCGACGACTGCTGCAAATGGGCTGGCGTCAAATGCAGCAGCAACCAAACCGTCACCCACCTCGACCTCAAGAATCCTTACCCTCAAGCAAATGGCGGAATCATTGACCAAACAGCTTACAAAGCTTCCTGTTTGGCCGGCAACATCAGTTCCTCTCTACTTCGCCTGCCATCTCTGAGCTACTTGGACATGAGTCTCAATGATTTCCAAGGCAATGAAATTCCTGCCTTCCTCGGTCAGCTCAATGATCTGACGTACCTCAATCTCTCCTTCTCCTCTTTTGGTGGAGAAATTCCACCCCAGCTTGGAAACCTGTCGAAGTTACAAGTCCTGGACCTCTACGCGGATTCCTATGGTGGAACTGCGGCAGCAGAACTGAGAGCAGATGATCTGAATTGGCTCACCCGACTCGCTTCCCTCAACCGCTTGAACATGGGATTCGTGAGAATCAACACGAGCAATGGTGGAGATTGGCTTCATGCTGTGAGTATGCTGCCATCTTTGGTGGAGCTGAAGCTTCAGTACTGCCAGCTTCAAGTCCTTCCGCAATCACTGTCCCTTGGTACCAACTTCCCCTCGATCTCGGTCCTTGATTTGTCAGACAACTCTTTCAACGCTCCAATCCCCCAGTGGCTGTTCAACCTCACCGGTCTCAGGGAACTATATCTCAGATGGAACTTCCTCCATGGTCCTGTACCCAGTGAGTTTGCAAGGCTCAAATCTCTTGAAATACTTGATTTGTCGAACAATTTGGATTTCGGAGGCCAGATTCCTGGGCTCTTTGGAAGTCTGCGAAAGCTGAAGGTGTTAGACCTTTCAGCTAATGATATGAATGGTGGAATCCAGGAGTTCATCAGTGGATTTGCAGGAAGTCCAAGTAGCAGCTTGATGTTTTTGGATTTGAGTTCCAACTCATTGGAAGGCCAACTGCCTGACCTGTTAGGAGTTGTGCTTCATAATTTGCAGCATCTCGACCTTTCTAGCAATAGATTCTGGGGTTCAATCCCGAATTCTGTTGGAGAAAAGATGTCCTCTTTGAAGCACTTGGATATTTCTTACAACAACATGAACGGGAGCATCCCAGATAGCTTTGGGCAGCTTTCAGCGCTGATTGATGTGAACCTGGTGGAGAATTCTTGGGTAGGGGTTCTGAAAGAAACTCACATGGTGAACCTCAGAAGCCTGGAGAATTTCAAACTGACCACGGATTCGAGCAATCATTCGTTAATTTTCAATGTCCCGGTGAAGTGGGTTCCTCCATTCAAGCTTAAGTCCATCCAACTTGAAAACTGCATCGTCGGTCCTTCTTTTCCTGCATGGCTTCAAGTCCAGAACCAACTTACTTCTGTGACCCTCAGAAATGTTGGGATTTCAGACACCATACCAGGAGAGTGGTTCTCAAACTTACCTTCTGAGCTCACTTTTTTGGTCCTCTCAAGCAACCAAATCACAGGGAAGTTGCCAAGTCAGCAACTGAAGTTTCCAAGGCTAAGCACCATTGATCTCAGCTCCAACAATTTTGAAGGTCCTCTCCCAATGTGGTCCACCAATGCAAGCGTCCTTTACCTTCAAGACAACAAGTTCTCAGGTTCAATACCCGAAAACTTTGGTAAACTAATGCCAAGGCTTCAAAAGGTATACCTTTCACAGAACCAACTTGTTGGTAAGATCCCATCCTCCATGTGTGATATGCAGGAGCTTCAGATTCTGTCTCTCAGGAACAACCGCGTTTCAGGAGAAATCCCAGACTGTTGGTACCATTCATTCATGTTTTGGGCCATAGATGTATCAAACAACAGTCTTACTGGTAAAATCCCAGCTTCATTCGGTTCCTTGCGTTCTCTCAGCATACTGTTGTTGAGCAGCAATCGATTTGATGGAGAGATTCCTGCTTCCTTGCAAAACTGCACTGGATTAACCAGCATGGATCTTGGAAATAACAGATTCTCTGGGGTCCTACCTTCTTGGATAGGGACAAAGTTCCAATCCCTTTTTATGCTGAATCTGCAGCTCAACTCCTTCAGTGGGCCAATATTCCCACAGTTCTGCAGTCTCCCAAACCTTCATATCTTGGACCTCTCTGGTAACAAGTTTTCAGGGGCGGTACCAAAGTGCCTTCCAAACCTGACAGCCATGGTAGAAGGTAGAAGCGGTGAGGTCTTTGAACAGCTGTTGCTGGTGGCAATGAAGGGAAGGAAAATGGAGCTGGATGCAATTCTTGCAAACGGCAATGGCATCAACCTATCTGGAAACAATCTGACCGGCAATATTCCTGGTGAGATCACGAAGCTTAGTGCCTTGCGAATCCTGAACCTGTCGAGGAATCAACTAAGCGGAGAAATCACAAATGGCATTGGAGATCTGCAGCACTTGGAAGCGCTTGACGTGTCACACAACCATTTAATGGGTTCAATACCACCAAGTTTGGCTACTATAGCTTCGTTGTTGCACTTGAACTTATCGTACAACAGTCTGCAAGGAAGAATCCCCACAGGGCTCCAGAGGTTCAACGACCCTTCTGTATTTATCGGCAATCCCTCACTCTGCGGACGCCCTCTTCCCCCCTGTCCAAGAAACAATGGTACCCTTATTACTACAATCAAATAGAGTACTAGATTGGTGGTGTACTTGTAAACCTCGTACGACAAAGATTCACTAATAAAAGTAGCAGAGACGCACGGTACCTTAAACTTAAATCATCCAAGCTTAACTAAATTCAGCAATCAGCACAGGGAAGGAAGAATTTGAGTAAAAAAACATCCACTTCAAGATAACTCATTGAAATAATTCAGATGGCCAATGAGACATGTGATCATTGAAAGGTTATCCGCAATGCAATAATAGACACTCGGGCCAACAGATCAATCAGGGATTCCTCAACTTCCCAGCTATTTTTTAGGGGTCGTTTGGATGGATCAATTGTAAAACGAGACAATTTGACCAATTATTTCATTTTACAAAACGAGTCATTTAAAACGAGTCAATTCAGATTACCTGCCCCCACCCCAGACAATTGTAATTGACTCAAAATGAGTCAATTCAGAATTCCCCAGCCCAAATTGCTTCATCTAAATTTTTTGCTGCCAAACGGATCAATCTAGCACAATTGGCTCAAAACGAGACAATTGTGTCAGATTGATTCATTAGAATTCCTCATCCAAACGACCCCATATTTCAGGTTGCCCTTCAACTTACATCATCCAAGCTTAGCTTAGGAATGAAAGTCAAAGGCACACAAATCCAGTTCAAGATAAACCCATTTATTGAAATACTTTAGATGGCTCATGAAACGTGCGTTCATTGGAATTTGGAAGGCTGTCTCATTGCTTGTGGGATTTGGGTGATGGATTTGGTACCCAAATCCCAAGCATAATGGAATTGACACAAGTCCATTGTTTGTTAGGGGACACAAATTCGTGGGGCCCACGAATTTGCAAATCCCACATTTCATTTGGGATTTGATAATGGAAGACAAAATGTGAACAAATCCATCATGAATCTATGACAAAAATAAACTACACAAACAATATACTCTTTTAAATCCATAATACAACAAATCCATCATAAATCCAAAAATTTTGAAAACTCAAAACCCTTATTTTCAAATCTAACAAGCAAAGGAGGCCTAATAATAGACACTGCCAATAGTGGATGGCTTCCCATGTCGATGACAAAACAAAACCCTTGACTTTCAACTTCTTCAGTAGCGTACAGCTGGCCTTTTATTTTTTAAACCATATCCTTACTCGTTCCATCCCCACCATCAGATCAATCAGGTTCTCCTCGAGTTCCCATTTTTGTATTACTCTCTTGCAGTAAGTAATACACGCTGCTGCAATGTATGGCAGCCGACACGTCTAAACAGAAAGCATAATTCTTTCACAGTTCACACACCATTCCCACTACAACAACTTAATAAACTATATGCGTTATGGAAATTCAGCCATGTGCCTAGCAGGGTCCATACTCGATTAAGGAAGAAAGTATTATCAAAGAAAGAAACTTTACTGTTACCTCTCAGCACTCTTCTGGTATGGATTGCAGAAAACCCTTCGACCTGCACCTACTGCTCCTTCTCCTTCTCCTTCTCTTTGTCTATTCCTCAAACTCCATCTTCAAATTCACTTCCTGCAATGGACAACAAGTAACAGTCGGAGGATGCTTAAGACAAGAGAGAACAGCGCTTTTAGCTTTCACGCAGGGTCTCGTCGATCCTTCGGCCCGCCTGTCTTCTTGGGGTGGAAACAATTGCTGCAGTTGGCGAGGCATTGAGTGCGACAACAAGACTGGGAATGTAATGAAGCTTGATCTCCGCAACTCGTTCCCCATCAACCTCGAACCATACTCAATGACCACAGAGCAACTGGACGCCTACAAACTGTCATGCCTCGGAGGTCAGTTGAATTCCTCTTTGCTTCAACTGGATCACTTGACTCACCTGGACTTGAGCTTGAACGACTTCGAAGGACTCCAAATCCCGGAGTTCTTGGGCGAGTTCAAGCACCTGAGGTATCTCAACCTCTCGTATGCATCATTTGCTGGACTGGTCCCTCCCCATCTCGGCAATTTGTCAACCTTGCATTACCTGGACATCTACGCCGATTCATTCAGCGCAGGTGGCCGTCAGGGGATGGAGATAGAGAACCCATCTTGGCTCTCTGGTCTCTCCTCTTTGAAACACCTCAATCTCGGTTTTGTAACCATTCATAGCACTGATGCGAAGTGGCTGCACGCTGTCAATATGATTCCTTCTCTGCTGGAGTTGTACTGCCATGGCTGTGAGCTTCAAGATATGGCAGTCACGTTGCCATTTGTCAATTTCAGTTCGCTTTCAGTCCTCGATCTGTCGCAAAATTTATTTAACTCTTCGTTTCCGGAGTGGCTGTCTACTCTTACTAGCTTAACTAGACTAGATCTCAGCACCAATTCTTTCAGTGGTTCCATCGCTGTTGACTTTGGGAAGTTTGAATCTCTGGAGGACCTCCATTTGTCATTGAACAACTTCAGCGCTCCTGTGCCAGTCACGTTGGGAAACCTCTGCTACTTGAGGAAGTTGGGACTTGCATCAGGCAGATTCAGTGGGGACATTTCGGGGTTGCTGAATTCCTTTACTGGGTGTCAGACTGTGAGCTTGGAAATGCTTAATCTGAACTCGAACGACTTAGTGGGAGAATTGCCCGATTCAATTGGACTTTTCAAGAATCTGAAACATCTGGACCTTGCTTACAACTCTCTCTGGGGTTCTATTCCAGCATCCATTGGCAACTTATCAGCATTGGAAGTTCTGTACCTGCACTCGAACAAGATGAACGGCAGCATCCCTGAAAGTTTTGGCCGACTTTCTGAGCTAAGAGATTTGAATCTCATTGCAAATTCATGGCAAGGAGTCATAACAGAAGCTCACCTGATGAAGCTCACCAGATTGGAAAGCTTGATGCTTTCATCCAGCTCCCTGGTGTTCAAGGTGGATCCCCAGTGGATCCCTCCTTTCAGGCTCGACTATCTTCAACTCGAGGATTGTACTGTGGGCCCTCCATTTTCCACTTGGCTTCAAGTTCAGAATCGTCTGACGCAGGTGAAACTCCAAAATGTCGGCATTTCTGACACCATACCAAAGGAATGGTTTTCTGAGTTGTCAGCTGAAATCCTCGTCATGGACCTGTCAGAGAATCAGATCAGGGGCGAGCTTCCTGAAGAACTGGTTTCTCCCAAATTAGAAATGCTAGATCTTTCCTCCAATCGCTTTGAAGGATTTCTCCCACGCTGGTCTACCAATGCAACTCAGTTTTACATCCATGAGAACTCACTCTCAGGTCCAATACCTCGGGACGTTGGCACGCTGATGCCAAGATTGCGAAACCTTCACCTCTCAGACAACACTCTAAACGGCACAATTCCACTATCCATATGCAAGATGGCAGACTTGCAAGTTCTTTCTCTCCGGAACAATTACCTTTCAGGAGAGCTACCTGACTGCTGGAGGGATTTGTCAACGTCATCCTTGTGGGTCGTTGATGTTTCAAACAATAGCATATCAGGTGAGATTCCTAGCTCGATGGGACTGCTGAGATCGCTTGGAATGCTGCTATTGAGCGAAAACAATCTGGTCGGAGAAATCCCATCTTCATTGCAGAACTGCTCGGCATTGACCAGCATCGACCTTGGAGAAAACCAGCTCTCAGGGGAAATACCTTCATGGTTGGGAGAAAATTTATCCGCCACTTTTGTGCTCCGTCTTCGATCTAACCAGTTCCACGGGCAGATCCCAGAAGCACTCTGCAATCTCCCGCTGCTTCATTTCTTGGACCTGTCCCACAACAATCTTTCGGGTGGGATCCCCAAGTGCCTGGACAACTTGACCGCCATTGTCTACGGAAACAGCAGCGAGTTGTATTATCGGGACTTCCAGTTCCGTATGGCCTACTTCAAGGAGGAAACCAAGGTGGTGACCAAAGGGAGAGCATACGATTACAACCGGAATCTAGCTCTGTTGAATGTCATTGATTTCTCGGAGAACAACTTGAGTGGCCCAATCCCCGAAGAGATGACAAAGCTTCTGTCGCTTAGGGTGCTGAACTTGTCGAGCAACCATATCAGTGGAGCCATTCCAGAGAAAATAGGAGACCTGAAAGTCCTGGAAACGTTAGACTTGTCTCATAACCAGCTCTCCGGGGAGATCCCAGCAACCTTGTCGTCCTTAACATTTTTGACGCATTTGATAGTCTCATATAACAACTTTTCAGGGAAGATTCCAGCAGGAAGACAGCTCCAAACATTTGATGCATCTTCCTACCAGGGTAACCCCTTCCTCTGTGGATTTCCTTCCCGAGTTAAATGTCCAACAGAAAGTATAACAACAACAGCACCACCAACAACTGGAACAGAACCAGAGGACGAAGAAGACGAAATCTTTGAATTGGGTACTGGACTGTATGTTAGTATAGTACTAGGGTTCGGATTCGGGTTCTTGGGACTCTCTGTAACTCTACTGAGAAAAGTGTTCAGGAAAAAAGACAACGAATGGTGAACTTTTTTGGATAGCTTACTTGTGATATGTACCAATAAAAGGCTTAACATTTCAATAACATTTCCTCAAAGCTGAATGATAATGTCATAGCGTAGAGCATCAGAACAAAACACCGCCACAACGGTCTAATTCAAAGCCTATAGCTAACATGTCTCTGAATGATCACTCCAAACAGCAGAAACGAAAGGAAAGGCCAAAAATTTGGTTGCAGTGTCGCACAGATTAAGATCGTCTCTTCTTGAGCTTGAAGTTACCCTTGCCACCGCGGCGTTTGTTTCTGGCAAGCTTGAACTTCTTCTTCAGCTTCTTCCCCCATGGCTTTGCAGACTTCTTGCCGTTCTCGTCATCCATTTCAAAATCTGCCCACAGAACCACCAAAACCCAATTCAATTCCACATCCGAGCACGGTAAATTGACGAAACAACAAACACACCCAAAACATCAAAAAGGACATCGATAGCATACCACCAGCAGCGTTGGTGGTCTGAAGCATGCCATCATCAGCGTTGGCAGTCGGGGTTGAATCAACGATGTTAACAGTGGAAGTGTCCATTGAGGAAGATTCGAACGGCGAGGGCTTGACGGGGAGCTTTGGAGCGGCGAGCGCTGCTTGAATGGCTGCAAGCTTGGCTTCGTCTATCTTGTCGTAAAGGGGTTGAATCATGTCCCTTCTAATGGCTCTCAGCCTCTTCTCCCGCTTCGATCTAATGGATTTCCCCATCTCTGACTGCTTTCTGCTTCCTCTGCGGTTGCGTCTGGGTTTCCTTTTGGGAGAGTTTTTCTCTTTGTCTGGGGGGCAGCAAACTGAAGGAAAGGCGGTCTGGGCGTCTAGGGTTTATCATGATGCATTCAGCATTGTATTACTATTATTCAATCGAAGGCGGTGACTAGATTTGGGCCTTGGGGGTGTTTGGTTGCTTGGATACGCGAGTTCGGAAAGCGGATATTAACTACAATAAATGGTAAGAAATGGGCCACTGGTCCAACAGCCCAACACAGCTCGGCCCATTACCATAACAATCCATCAAATTATTTTGGTTTAATATACTTGTAAATCCAAAACTTTCATGATTGTGCCAATAATATCCAAATTTCCTGAAATACCACTTATATCCATGTTTTAAAGTTGTTTTTTGCCAAATCTATCCATTTCCCAATATATTTTTGGTTAAATACACTTGTATATCCAAAAACACCATTAAAGAATGTGAAGGAATTGGATATAAGTGGTATTTCGGGAAATTTGGATATTATTGGCACAACCGTAAAAGTTTTGGATATACAAGTGTATTTAACCAATTATTTTTGACAACAATATTACAACGAATTAAACTCGTTGCTAAAGGATCATTGGTCATATTTCATCCGTCTACAAAGATAATCACAAAGACACAAACAAGGCCAAATAACAGGAAACCAAATGGATGGGGTGATTGGATGAAGCCTCCATAGCTCCATCTGTCGTCTTCCACGATAATGCAGAGCTCCCGCCATTCCTTGCTCTAGCAGTAGAAGCACCTTTACCAGAGGATTAAGCCTTCCCGATGAATTCCACATCAAACAGAAGAACCGAATTCGGAGGAATTACACATGAACCTGTCAACCCCAGTTAAGCAACATAAGACCATCTCCCTTAGTCAAAGCCAAAGCTTCAAGATTGAAGGAACAGTATGCAGCAACCATTGAGAGCCTGAAGTTGAGGGCTTTAATTATCACTTACCTCCTCTGCAGCCAGCCCCTCTAACGCCATACCCAAGTTCTGGTGGAAGTTTCAATATGCGTTTTCCCCCTGAAAATTGAAGATGAAGACACAATTTCAGGCTTCATAGTTCATACTGTCTGTTCAGTTAGGATCAATGGCAGTTGAGTTTAAGCTCCGAATTAGTTCAGAATCATCCAGACTGAATCGGTATATTACCAGCTTGCATAGGAGGTACTCCATCACCCCCAAGAATCCCTTGGTCCCAGCCTTGGATCACCTATTATACCAGTAAATTACAGAGCTCTCAATTTAACTACATTTAGTCATCTAACATCTCGAACCCATATTTCCATAAGTCTGCATCTCGATTGAAACCCATATCTTTAAAGCACAGAGACCACTTGCTCTTACCTCACCAACTCCGACGCGGAAACTGAGGGGCTTGCCGCGATTGTAGCTGCTGTCGAAGACCTGCCCATTTTCCAATTTCCCAACGTAATGCGCCTGTATGACCCACGAACTCGAAATCTCGTTACCAATTTCCAATACCCACCACGCCAATCAAGTGGATTGATCGAATTTCGTTCAATTGGGGTTCTTATCAGATTACCTTAATCAATTGCCCCTTCACCGCCTCCGGGCCAGTCCCGACGACCTTGTCACAGAAGGCGAGGCCCGACCGTACCGAAGTGAATTGACATGAAGCTGTCTCCGCCGCTTCTGCTGTGGGCCGCCCTTGAAACACAGCGCCGATGAGCGCCGCGAATCCGACGCCTATCGCTTCCCTCCGGCGGACCAAAATCTGGTCCTGATTAAGCTGCAGTTGTTGGGACTGGGAGGAGCCTTCTACTTGGTGACGAGTTGGGAACTTGACAGTTGGTGCTTCGGTTGTTCGGGCATTCTTGACGGCTGTCGTTGTGCTGAGCTTAGTTTTCCCGGGAGTGTGGTAGCGCCCAACGGAAAACGCTAACGAATTCATTGCATTTGCAGCCAAGTAGAGAACTTTCAGGAGGAGATAATCATCAAAAGATTTTTTTTATTCAACCATTTTAATGGCGGAACTGCACTTGAATGAATGGCGGAATCAGCATTCTTTATGGGCTAGGCCTCGAAATCTGAGGCCCAATTGTTTTCACAACTTAGCCTCCACTAGTTATCCTCGGCAAAATTTGAATAGGGATGAGAAAAGATGAGATTTGAATAGGGTAAATTCGAATATGAATGATTTTTAATGAGGGTGGATAACACTCGAACTCGAATACTACGAGTAATGAGTGGATATAGTTTTCTTTTATGTAATGTTCAATATTAAGGGGTCGTTTGCTTGTTGGATTTGGGTCATGGATTTAATACCTAAATCCCAAATTTGATGGATTTAACATAAGTCCATGTTTGTTGAAGGGTGCTAAATCCATGGGGTCCACGGATTTGGTCTTTATTTTGGAACCAAATCCGTGGACCCCACGGACTTGTAAATCCCACATATTGATTTGAGATTTGCAAATCTTTGCTGGTTAGTTATTTATTTAACAAATCCATCACAAATCCATCATCAAATCTATCATGCAAATATTAGACTATTCAAATCCATAATCCAATAAATCCAACATAAATCCCAAGGTTTTTATTGGCCAAAACCCTCATTTTTCAAATCCAACAAGTAAACGACCCCTAATATATAAAAGTCTAAGTTGGAGTTACTATTAATTAGTGGCTCCCAAACTCCTATAAGTGCAAGTGAAAAAGTTTTAATTCCTTCTTTTACCCCATTCTCTTATTCTATAACCTATGTATGCATCTATTGTCTATTGGGTCTACATCTTGCCATTAGGTTTCTCATAATAGGTATTAATTGTCTACTAAGTTTTCATCTATTGTTCATTGCTTTCCCTGTTGCAACAATTACCCATCTCGAAACACGATCGACGAAATCATAAGTTAAAATACACAATCCTCGCATTCTCCCAACAATGCACAATCCTTCTCCAAACACTTTTGATGGAATCATAAGTTGTCTTCAATAGGTCTTAATTGTCTACTAAGTTTTCATCTATTATTCATTGCTTTCCCTATTGCAACAATTCCCCATCTCGAAACATTATCGACGAAATTATAAGTTGTATTCTTCCACCGTTTTCCACGAGTGCAACCGAAGATCAATACCTTATTTATTATACATAATCCTCGCATTCTTCCAATAATGCACAATCCTTCTCCAAACACTTTCGGTCGAATCCAATGTTTTACCCATCCACCGTGTCCCAAGACTGCTATCGAAAATCCATACCAAATATGCTTTGTGTTGCCGAATTTTGTAACGAGACTAAGTTTCATATTCCTTAGTATTTTCTTATATCTCTTTTTCCTTTTGGTTAAGCATGACAATTAAACTCAAACTCATGGGTATCCAACATAATTCGTCAAGGTCAAAGTGACTTTGAATCCGATTTTAGTATTTTTTAAATTTCTATTTTTCAAGTCCTTCTTTTACCCCACTATCTTATTCTATAACCTATGTGTCCATCTATTGTTCGTTGGTTCTCCATCTTGCCCATTAGGTTTCTCAAAATAGTTATTAATTGTCTACTAAGTTTTCATCTATTGTTCATTGCTTTCACTCTTACAATAATTACTCATCTCGAAACACTATCGACGAAATCATAAGTTGTCTTCTTCCGCCGTTTTCCATGAGTGCAACCGATAGATCAATACCTTATCTATTATACATAATCTTCACATTCTCCCAATAATGCACAATCCTTCTCCAAACACTTTTGGTGGAATTCTAAGTTTTACCCATCCACCGTGTCCCAAACCGCTATCGAAAATCCATACCAAATATGCTTTGTGTTGCCGAATTTTGTATCGAGACTAAAACTCGATTCGACCCGACCAAAGCGAGTTGAGCATGGTGTTGATGAGTTTTTGATCGAGAGCGAGTTTTATCTGCTTTAATATTTTTTATTTCTCCTTTTTCTTTTGATTGAGAATGACAATTGAACCCAGACCCGGTGCTGACGAGTTTTGTACAGAGAGCGGGTTTTAAGCGATTTTAGAATTGACATGTTGAGCCGAATGTGAATTGTTAAAAACTCGGTTCGAACCAGTCAATGCAAGTTCAACTCGATGTGTAGAGTTTTTGGTAGGGAGCGAGTTTATCTGCTTTAGTGTTTTTTTTACTTATCCTTTTCCTTTTGGTTGAGAACCCAAACTTATGGGTATTTTGTAATTGGCGGGTCGGGTCGGTTGTGAATTTGATACAAACTTGGTTCAAGCTGATCAAAGAGAGTTGAACATGATTTTGCCGAATTTTGGATCGTGAGCGAGTTTTATCTGCTTGATTGTCTGTTAATTTCTCTTTTTATTCTTGCGGATGAAATTGAACCCAAACCCATGGGTATTCAACCTAATTCGACCTGAACAAAGTGAGTTGAACCTCCTTAAGCCTTCGATTAATCCCGAAAATCCAGAAAAAGGAGAATCAAGATAAACTTAAAAAAAGTCAGAGCAAAAAAAGTACAAACTAGAGAGAAGATTAAACATAGAAATCATTTGCTCGGTGACCCTTCTCCCTTATTAAAGTTCATTGTTGCATCGACTGTATTGAGTTGTAGATGACAATCACTTTATCGTGTGGTCAAAATTCAAATTATCAATCTTTAAAATATCATGTTCTTGCTCAACGCGAAGCGATAGCGAGCGGGCTTATGCTAGTAAGTGTAATTTATAAACATGTTGGTTGAAGTTATACAGAAAAAATTATTAATACTAGTAAGACTAGAACTGTTTTGGTACACAATACGTTGATATCCCTAGTTTGAAGTTGTGATTGAATCTTTTATATTCTTAAAAAAAATTCATAATGTCGTGGGTGGACCATTGGCATGGATGGGTTGTTGGCCGTAAATGATCTCCTAGACCGGTTTTAACTTGGGTGCGAGTTTTATCCACTTTTGAATTTGACGAGTTGGTTCACATTTGGATTTTGTCAAACTCAAACAGCTTTCCTTTCAACCCACACACATAAAGCAAAATTCAACCCACACACATAAAGCAAAACGTCATCATTTTGTCACAATTCCTCACCTTCCCGGATTTTTCACAATCCTATGCTTTTGAAGGCTACAAAATGAGAGATTTTGACCATGCAGAATTTCAAAAAGGTGCATACATGGGATTTTGAAATAGCTTAACCACCCAGCTATTCCAAAATCCCCAACTAATTGTTTTCTTCCAACCATTACCACTCCGCATCACTATCACTGGCCAATTAAAATTACCAACTACTAAAAATTAAAAAAAAATAATTATAACAAAGTGACAACAATTACCAATTTGCTGCTATATATAACTGAGTGATAGAGTAATGGAAAATTGATACTCCAAAGAAGTGAAATCCACAATGTGAAGAGCCTTGGTTCCCATTATGTTTTGGTGTCTTTCTTTTAATCTAAAGTTGCCCAATGGACAGTTGGCATGAGTAATACAAAACTTTGCACTTACTAATCAAATCCATTGACAACAAAGTTGGAGGTGGTTAAATTGCTAAAATACCTTCCTAATTTGCATGTAATTTATTTATTAATTTTGTCAATCTATTTAATTATAATTAAAGAATTGTTTTACGGATTAACCCCGCAAGGCCGCAACCCTCCGTCCATTCATCCTTACCCACAAAAAAAATTATGTGAGCGAATGACCATCACTATTATATTAACTCATTAATAAGTCGTTGTGCCGAAACTCACCGCCAGGGCCGGCCAAGAGGGTGTGCCGGCTCGCCCTCTGGCACAGGGCCTCTGAATATTAGGAGCCTCCTCTCAGATTCGTTAGTTACCGATCGAATATTGCAGGTTGTTTTTTTAGTGTATGATTGATAGATTATGATTTATGAATATGATGACGAATTAATAGATAATTTTTGCTATAACAACAATTGAAAAGGATCTCATGGAGAATACGAAAATCAGAGAGATAGTAGATAATTTTAATTTAAACAATAAAGAAAGATATTACATTTTGAATAATGGTATTATAATCATTTTAGTTTTATTATAGTTAAAACTCAATTTTGATAATGTGTCAATTTTAGAATAGGGCCTACACGATCCATTAGATAGACCCGCACCCACCACTCGATCAATTTATATTATTTTCATTTCTCCATTCAATTTTTGCTCTATATCCATTTTCTGTTCCCTCCAAATTTACTTTTCTCTCTCCATGCTAGGAGTGGGAATTTGGTCTTGGTTTCTTGGTCAAACAGAAAATGAGATTGTTTATTTATTTTGAAATAATACTTTATAATTATTTAATAAATTTATTGAGAAAAAAATTAAGGGCCACATGTTAAATTTTTGAACAGGGCCTCCAAATATCATGGGACGGCTCTGCTCACCGCCACACCCATATTCACCACCTTAGCCAAAACAACTGAAGAGGACATCTGGGCCGCCCCTTTAAGTTTGGTACCAGCTATAGCTAGGTTCCATTACCACAGGCTGTTGGGATAGAATATAATCCAAGGAGTTCATGACTTCATGCTTCCAAAGAAGACCGAGGTTTTAAATTACGATGAATCTTAATCATTAATGTCGAAATCTGGAGTGGTTTGGAGTTGAAGATCGAGCATCTAATTCATATTAGGTTTGTGATCTCTATTTTCTAGTATTGTCAGGTCAAGTAGTAGGCGTATAGCAAGTGAACAATAATACTACTTATATGCACATGAGTAGGCACTTGCTTCCAATTTACACAATTAATATCTATATATATTTCCTGTGTGGAAGTTTTTATAATTGTAAATTGTGCATGAACAAGCCAATGGCATGCATGCAGATACATAACGATATGTTGACCGTATTTATTACAATTATTGCGTGCGTCAATATCTACTCCAATTGTTAATTGACATGCTCGACATGCCAATTGGGGGATTAACGAACCAGTTGGCGTCCACAATTATAAATTTTTTTTTAGTTCATTTTCGTAAATCAACAATTTATAATAACTCGAGTCGTTGGAGAAGATTAATTATGAATTTTATATTACTCTTTTATACTGTTCTGAAGCAAAAGTCAACTCGCATATTTGAAATTTTCACAGAACCATCTTATATTATGCTTAAATAGGCTTTAATATTGATGAGCTAGTGAAACACACGACCACTTGAACTAATTAGTAGTTGTGGGATTGGAGTGGTAGCTAATGGTGGCAAGTCAAATTCCAAAATTACAATTTGGCTTTGGAATTTGACTATATATAGTCTTGGGTTTGTGTAAGTTCTTCATTTCAAGCAAAGCAAAAACAAAGAAGAAAAGAGAGCGGGGCAGCAACAATGAGTTGTGAGATGTGGAAGAAATAAGAAAGTTGAGCATTTCGATAAGTTTTTCCACCATCAGGATTCAGGCATCAGCTGCTGCCCTGTTTCTATTCCAAGTATTTTTTCCACGAAAGAACGATTTTAGACCTAAGATGAAAGCATTAGCGAATTAGACTTTAACAAGAAGACTTGATCTAAGAAGAGAGAGGGCGCAGATTCGGGAAAATACTTTGATGTGCTTTATTTATTTTTAGAATTAAATATAAATATTATATATTAGGGAAAATTAATAGAATTTGAGTTAAATTTTGAATTTTGTATTGATGACATGTCATGTTATTGTTGGTCTATGGTATTGACCGTGCAACTTGATGATCAACCCACGAGCCTGGTCAAAGTAGTCTTGATGGTGTAAAGTTCGGAACAAGATTGGTCTTTATGAAAATTCAAACTAAAGTAGTCTATTAGTGTAAATTTTGAGTAAGTTACAAGGTATTAACCCTTCTATGTTTTAGTTATAAACTACTATTCAGAAGTTGGGACAGTAACAACAATTTCAATTTTTAGAAATGTCCCGAGAAACTCTAAAATAGTATCAGTAAGCCCTCAGTTAACGAATAATGCCCTAATTGATTGGGTAGTTAAACGGTAAATGATACTTTTGAAATGATCATAAAATCGTATAGAAAATTATATAAAAAATCTAGTAATAGAGTATATATTTTGTATTTAACCGACGGACTTGTTTGGAGAATTGGAGTCTAAATCTCTATATTCTAGACAATCCAAAGATTTTAACTCTCTGGATTGTTGAAAAAAGATTTGAAAATGTTCATTGTTTGGGAACTATGATTGTTAACATCCAATGAAAAAAGAAATTCTATTTTTTTATCACATAACATGTTTATCCTTAACCAAAATAATTAGATTGGCTCGAAAAATATTGAGAATTTATTGGTAAGGGTATTTAGTGGGATAAATGAAAAAAAAAACAAGAGATATAATAGGAGGGAGAAAATCTACAAAATCAAGATGTAGAATCTCTCTAATTATGAGAGATTTGATATCTCTAGATTTTATAGATTTACAATCTCTGAAGTTACAATCCACGATACAAAAAGTAGCAAAAAAACATAACATTTTGCTAAATCTATGGATTCAATAAATCCACGATCCAAATCTTGTTCTCCAAACAACCCGTAATTCAATCGTTCCATATCGATAAAATCACCTATCAACTTGGATTTCAGTAGACATTATTTTTTTGTTCGAACCATTGATATGGTATACGGTAATGTAAACACTTATTTTGTTTTGAAATTTGTGGTGAAAATGACAGGAAAGTAAAATTTAGTGAAAAAGTTACTTCTTAAGCTGACTTTTCTACAAGTACTAATCATGCTAACCCTGATAAGGTTCATGCCGGGAATAATTAAAGTAATGTACCGTTTATTATTTATCATTGCATCCATCGATTGCTTAGGATTAATTTCTCTGATCCCTAGTTAAGTTTCATACTCAAAGAGATGGAGTAGCAAAAGGCAGAGTTAAAACCATACATTTAAACAATCTTTCGTGAGACATTTCACCGAAACGATCTGCCAAATTTCAAATGACCCTAACGAGGAGCTACATTTAACCCAAGTCGTGATAGACATTCTCCTCTCTCAAATTTATGTACTAACTAAAGTAAACAATCTTAGTTATTGGAGATTCTAGTAAAAATATCTATTGACTTCTTAAATGAAGACCTCACTCCAACGAGATGAAAATGATAGTTGGGTTAGTATATTTTAATTAGTACACATGTTTCCATATATTTTTATATTTTCATTTTACTTAAACTTTCAACTTTCTTATATATATAAATTCATGAGGGAACTGTCTGTTTCGTTCTTGTTAGTTGATTGACACATTAATAATATATTAACATAAATGTGTGCAGTATGACGTTTACTTTTGTTTCAAAGAAATATAATTACATTATGAATGTTTGCAAATATTTTTCTAATTTTCTGAATGAAAAGGTTTTGTAAATAGGTCATAGAAGTAAAATAAATTTGTTTAGGTTTCGGAAAATGTTAACGATTCGTTTGGAGAATATGAGTTTCAATCTATAGATTGTCAACAATCTATAAATTCTAACTCTTTGAATTATTGAAAATAGATTTTAAAACATTTATTGTTTAGTAACTGTGATTGTTAACATTAATTGAAAGTAAAAATAAAAATTTTATATTAAATAACACGTTTATCCTTAATAAAAATTAGAGTGGTCAGTAAATGATAAAAAAATTGTTGATAAATATATGTAATGTGATAAAGAAATAAAAGGAAGAGAACAAGTAGGAGAAAAAAAAATCTAACAAATCAAGATATATAATCTCTCTGATTATGAGATATTTGATATTCGTAGATTTTAAAGATTTGAAATCTCTAAAGATAAAATCCATAATAAAAAAAACATAACTTTCTACAAATTCTGCGGATTTAGTAAATCCACGCCCTAAATCCTGTTTTCCAAACGACCCCTAAATTGATTTGGGATGTGTTCATATTTTTGGGTAATGGAAAAGCAAATGATTAATAATTAATGGAGTAAATTGTTGAGATTACCAATCTATGCTGAAAAATATCTTGAAAATTAGTTTGCGCCATTTTTTTTAGGATTGAATGGACTACAACCTCCCAAAACATGAACATGTTCCGCCACCCCCAATATCAACACATATTGTACCACAAATCAATCAAAACGTGTTTTTTTATGAACCAGCGCTCTCGGTTTGGGAGTTGCTTGTAGCTCACAAGCGAGAGAACGACGTTGGTGTCGATAAGCCTTTATTTTTATTATTTGATAAACCGGACTACCGCCGAACTTACATATTTATAGAATAGAAAACTTAATACGCAAACGTAATACTACCCGAAAACCTAGTCCAACTCGGCTACCCCTTCCTTGCCGCATACGAAACCCAAACCCAAAAGGAAACAACAACGACCCACTACTCCTAAGCCCAACCCAAAAATCCACTCATCAATCCTCCCCCCTCGAAATCAACCTTGTCCCAAGGTTGACCCTCAAAATCTTCTTCGAACAAGTACAGCATCTTCGCGTTACTACACTTGTGGCCTATGGTGAACTGCTTATTACAGTTGAAACACAACCCTTGAGTTTGACGAAGCTGCTGCTCTTCCCAACTCAATCGCCTATCGCGCCGAAGGTCCGCGTGGTAGTCCCGTTCCTCCAGAAGTCCCCGCATTGTCCGCTCGTGGCCCATATGCGCCGCTGCCGTCACCACCACCCGCCCGTTCCGATACCCACCTGCGTCGTTGCACGACCTGCCGGTTTATGATGTTGTAGCTGGTTGCTCTTCATTCTTGCCGAACTGATTGCATCCCATAAAGTTTGAGGCTGAAATATTTGAATTTCGTCGGCGATTTCTTCCTTCAATCCGCCCAGATATGTTCCTACCAGCGCTTGTTGCATCCAACCGACAAAACGATTAGCGAGCTTTTCAAACTCGCATTGGTAGTAGCACAGAGAGCCCGTTTGGCGTATACGAGACAGGGCCTTATCACAACTCTCGCCCTCTGTTCAACACGTGGAAACCACACACCCGGATCGTCCCCAGCAAACTTAGGGAACTCCAGATGCACGAGTTTGGCGAGGAAAGGCGCCGCCACCACTACCCCCTTTTCCACCACTGTCCCCACCGCCCCGTGGCTTGCTCGCCTCTGCATCCTGCGCGGTTCTTCGACAACCATTGTCTCCCTTGGAGATATCGTGGTGCCCGTCGTCTCGTCCCCGTTGTTGCTGCCCATTGTTTTCTCCGTGCCGTTGGGCGTCACGACGGTCTCCTTTGTCACGCTGGCCCACCAGCTTCTCGAACTGCGCCATCAACATCATGTCAGTCTCATCTGTCTGCGCCATCCGTTCGATCATCCCTGCCACGGTGGCCTGGAGGGACTAGATCGCCGCCTCCATTTGCGCCTCTTGCACCTCCAGTCGTTTGCCCTGCCCCACCAAGCCTTGGTTGGTGGCATCCAATGTCGAACAACGTTCCGCCGTCGATCCTCCCATTGCCGCGGAAGCCCCAGGTTTTGATACTAATTGATGAACCGACGCTCTCCGTTTGGGAGTTGCTTATAGCTCACAAGCGAGAGAACGACGTTGGTGTCTATAAACCTTTTATTTTATTATTCGATAAACTGGACTACTGCCAAACTTACATATTTATAGAATAGAAAACCTAATACGCAAATCTAATACTACCCGAAAACCGAGTCCTACTCGGCTACCCCTTCCTTACCGCATACTAAACCCAAACCCAAAAGGAAACCGACAACAACCCACTACCCTTAACCCCAACCCGAAAATCCACTCATCATATTTACTTAGAAGCGTTTTGGTGATCTAGAAGCGTAAAATTGTAAGCTTTTAAGTTTAAGCGCGTTTTTAACTACAATAGTTATAAAAACTGCGATTGTGTGTATAGAAATATTTTTGTGACATAAACGTAAAACTATAAATTTTTAAATTTTAAACACGATTTTAACTACATTGACAGTTTGGTTTTTTGGCAAACTATACTCACATATATTATCGAACTTAATTAGCCAATTATGTAACTAAGCTCAAAGCCTCAAACATTTAATGCAATGATCTCCGGTCCGGTAGTGTACATGGCTTCGCTGTCCATCCCACGTTGCAAATTGCAATTCATTTGTTAATTAAGTTAGTTAGTTACCTCCTTAAAGTCATATATTTAAGTTTCTCATGAATCATGTGACGAACCTAATTCTTTTGTTTTGGTTTGGTTGGAGATCGATTGAAGAACCCTAATTTTTAATCCCTCCATTGAGATGGGAAAATTGGGAAAACATCAAACATGACACAGTATCCGGCTTATAAACAGTTAAACACATGCATATATAGCTAGTAGGTTGAATTGAATCCAGCAGGATGCATGCATGACGTGCACATTACGTTGCATGCACCATTAGTATAGTTGCTAGTTAATTAATTGTGATGTTTCCTGGAAGCAATTATAATCCGTGAGGCTAAAATAGACAAACAAGGCCATGATTGTGAAAAATGGGGGTCCAAATAGCTAGCTGGTGATGAAATAATGATTTCGAGTAAGGTTAGAATAGAAATAAAGAATCACAGTAACTTTTCGTGAATGAACTTAATAGTTTTTTCACTCTCTTTTGTATGAAACTGACTTTTAATGGAGGAAAATATAGTATTGTTGCATTAATAGATTGGTGATCAACTAGAATTTTTTACATATATCAACTATATTTTGAGATTATACGATTATTTATTTCGAAAGATTATTTCTGTCACATAAGAGAAACGTACATGCATAATGTGTAAGCATAAAAATAAAGATCGATCGATACAAGCATTATAACAATTTCATTAAAACAACCAGCCGAACATCTAAACAATTTCTAAGTGTCACTTCAAAAAAATTATATTATCACTAGTTGGTTATCTTTTTCATTTTTGTTTAAGACTACAATGCCGTATACAAAAAGATACATTGACACGACCATCCTAGCTATGAGCCAAGAACTGAAAAACGTAACTATCGCAATCTCTTCTCCTATATAGAGATCCGGAACCTAGTTGAAAGCTTTTTTTCTTTTAAAAGATTTTATTGAATAAAATTAAATAATTAATAATTCTTAAGTAAGAAAATTCTTGACTCTTACAAGTTAAAAAAATTAATGATATGTTTTCATATTCGAAAATTATTTTAGAGTATACTTGGTGTCTACACTGCTTAAAAGAATTGTCTTTGTATATCCTATTAGACATTCTTTCACGAATTGATCATATATTTGATTCCTAAACTTGTTCTTAATGTAAACCAAAGTTGAAAAATACTCTTTCAACATTTGTCGTACAATCATCAAATCAATACAAATTAATGGTTGATTGAATTAGTTTAATTGTTAGGTTTTGAAAATAATTAAATACAGGGAATGGCATTTTACTATTACACAGTGTTCAAAATCGAACAACAAATTAGTTGTAGCCTAATGAAAATTATGCTTATTAATAATAATAGTGTCATAGGTTTGAATTATCCAAACTTTCCATTTATATTTTCATATATGCAAACTAAAAAATGTGAGTAGGACAATCATTTTTTCAAATTTCAGGGTGTCCCTCACAATCAATTATAATTTTTTTCCATACGTAAATTATCACCTGGGGTTGGGTAATTGTTTTCACAAATTTTAAGGGTGTCCCCTGGGTTCGCCCTTGTAGCCATAACCCAAATAAATACAAGGTTGTCAATTCGATTTAGCCAGTTGGCTTGATCGAGCAAGTGGGTTGAGAGTTAATGATCTGATTGTTTTAGTCCTGTTTAGTTCTGATGTACGAAAATGTCATTATAATGTCGATATATTTATAAATTATATCAATCTCATGTAACATATAGGTAATAAACATATAACATTATACCAAAATAAAAGTCCGTACTTAGATCCAACATATATATATAGTGAAAATTTAAATACACTCATACGACATCAATTTTCAAATGTTCAATTTATAATTCCAAAGATAGAATCATGCGAAGGGAAAAAACCAAAAAAGAGGCGCAATTCACTAAATAAAGAAAAAAATGACGTTGTGTGACCTCCAATCCGAGAACCTTGTTGCGGATCCACCCGCACATGTGTGATACTCATTTTTTATCAATCGGGATTAGCCCGGGAGTTTAATTACAACCTTGAATAAATGTGATTATAGTCATAAGAAAAATATCAAGTTTTGGTTATATACGGAAATAAGGTATGGCGAATAATGTCTCACCAAACCTCCAACTCCAAGCGACCCCGTATAATGATATTCCCATTACCATTTGACGTAAACCCTTTAAAAAGCTACGTACGTTCCATTCTTATTTTTAAGGACATGAGCACCTCCTCTAATTATTGAATAGTGGCTACCGACCGCTATACGCTTCCGACAAAAATCAACGAAAAGAGAGAGACAGAGATAGGGAGAGAGAACGAAAAAGACATATATCCAATATTATATACACACACAGTAGGAGAGGAAGCTTCGAAACAGAGAGAAAGAAGACTAGTGTTTCTTCTGTTCTCTGTCTTGTGGTTGAGAGACGTCAGAGAGAGAGAGAGAGAGAGAGAGATCCTCAGTCTCAGAATAGAGAAACAGACATCTTCTATATATATACATACACGCTCGAGCTAGGTTTCCTCGTACAGAACAGAACCCTATAGGTCGAGGTTCATCACACTTAGCTTACATATATAAGTCTCACCTTTTCTGGGCGACGCTGCCTTGATAAGAGAGAAGGAATATCGATATCATGGGACATAACTGCTGCACCAAACAGAAAGTCAAGAAAGGGCTGTGGTCTCCCGACGAGGACGAGAAGCTCTTCAACTTCATCACCTCCCACGGCCACCCTTCTTGGAGCTCCGTTCCCAAGCTCGCAGGTACTTTACATTTTAAAATTATTTTTCCACATCCTCGAGGTATTGAGATCAATGGGTTACTAACACATGTCTTTAACTTTCTTAGGGTTGCAAAGATGCGGGAAGAGCTGCAGGCTACGGTGGATAAACTACCTGCGGCCCGATCTGAAGAGGGGAGGCTTCACCGCCCAAGAAGAAAGGAGGATCATCGAGGTGCACAGGATGCTCGGGAACAGATGGGCTCAGATATCCAAGCATCTGCCTGGCAGAACCGACAACGAGATCAAGAACTTCTGGAACTCCTACATCAAGAAGAAGCTCATTGCCCAGGGCCTTGATCCCAACACCCACAACCTCCTCCCTACACCCACCTCTCCCGCCAAAACACCCCACCAATCGTCATCAAATTCTTCTTCCTCGTCTTCTTCCACGTCGACACTGGTATTTGGCGATCAAACGACACCGTCTAGAGCGCCCGTCTTCCTTCCTATATTCCAGCTCAGCGATATTCCTACCACCACCACCACTACTAATCTATATACTACTACTACTAATAATCATCATCATCATCAGCATATTAGCTTCCATGTTCCACCAGCTACTGAGATGGATGTTAACAATGGCTTTTGGGGCTACGGAGCACCGGGCTTGGAGTCCAAAAGCGACGTCGTTCGGATTGAACCGTCAGTGGACGGTGTCGATCTACTGCGACGACGTCTTTATGAGGAGGAAGAGGAGTATAAGATAATGGAGGGTTCGTTTGAAGGATTGGATTTCGATTTCGGGGAAGCTGCTGCTACCAATTCAAGCTTCTTCGGTGCTGTGACGACGAATGGTACTGCTGCTGCTAATTACGGTGGTAATTATGCCATGTGGCATGACGTATTATAGCTGTTAAAAAAAAAACTATTTACCACACTACTATTACAGCAGTGCAAGCAAGAACGGCTTCTTCTTCCCCGTTGACCGATTGATGTTTGACGTTATGTTGCTTGCAATGACAGCACCGAGAGGGAAGTAATGATTGGTGCGCCACGTGACACCGCCGACCGCTAGCTAAAGACAGCCGGACCACATTACGGACTAATCAGGCTGGCTGGCTGGGCAATTAGGCTAATAAGCTCAGTCAACGAATGATTAGCTTTGTCGTCCTAATTAAAGTTTCTTTTCAGTACTTTTGGTTAATTCGCCTTTTCTGCTATCTTAATTATTAGGGTTTATACTTTTACGTTGATTGATTTTTTTGTGATGGGGTCGTCGGCAAGTACGGGCTGCTGGAATTGATGTTGGGAAATGGGAAAACAGTGTTTCCCATTAATTTGAGATTTATGGTGTTTGTGTATGATAAGGATGATTGTTTCGTTTAATTCCTTTGCATTTAATTATCTTACGTGGTTGTTAGTAAGGGTGGCTATACGGTCCGTTTAAATTGGACCAAATTGATCCGGTCCCAGTCCGGTTTTTTCGGGAATATAAGGACCAAAGATTGGATTGGATACACTCCGGTCTTGACCCGGTCTGGTCTCAATTTGATTTTGATTTTAGATTGAGCTTGTGGGGATTTGAGTGTTTGGGTCTCTTATCCGGTTTTCATCCCGGTTTTTACCTCAAATCTAAATCCGAATATGAGATTGGATTGTTTGCTATCCGGTCCCAATCCGGTCCCGGTCCGGATTATACGATCCGGTTTCGGGTAAAACCAAACAGTCCTGGACCAAATTACCAGCCCTAGTTAGTAGTGGTAATTGGTAAAACTGCTCCACCATTGTAGGCTACATGGGATAGTTTTTCTGTTTTGGAGTGGGTATTTAAATCTCACAGTCTTATCTAATGCAAAGCACATGGTATTATAGCTAAGCTCAAATTTTCTTAACCACTAAATCCTTCCTTCCTCTATCAAATCCCACATTCTTTTCTGCTTCTCCATCTTCTTCCCAGCAACGATAGCAAAATCTCTCAACTCTATTCTTCCTTGCCGTTGCCACCATGTCTCAAAACTTTGGAGAATTGGTCATCAATGGCTCAGTTTGGCCGTGTTGTATATTTTGCAGAAGCAGTTTCTGACTTGAATTTTTAGAGAAGTACTTTTCAAAAAAAGCAGTTCAGTGTTTGGCTAAAAAACTATTATAAGTGCTTTTAAATATTAGAGGTTGTGTAAAATGACTATAAAGGTCTTATAATATAAGCTATGAATAATAATTTTAAACAATAAAATGTAGTCAAAATGGATCTTATTAGACTTCTTTTATATTAAATAATATGATTTTAAAATTTATTTTATTTTTAAAATGATATAAATGAAAGAAAATTATATTTTCTGAAATAAAATTAAAATATGGTAAGGATAATCTTGTACTTTCAAAACAGCTTGTCGGAGAAGCTCCAAATCGGAGCTTTTGCTTTTATGTTATACAAAAGCGCTTTTCGGCTTTTCAAAAGTCAAGCTTTTAGATGTGTTTGGCCTTGCTTCAGCTTTTGAACCCGAAAAGCACTTTTAAAAGACGGGCCAAACATATGGAATATCAGTGATTCCAACACCATCATCACCCTCAACCCTGCTTCTCAAATGTCGATCAAACTCGACGATGACAATTTCCTGACCTGGCGAGCGCAACTCCTCACTCTCCTTCGCGGCCTCGACCTTCTGAAATTTCTCGACGGCACGCACCCTGCCCTGACGACCACCGCTCCTGATACTAAGCATACTCATTGGTTCAGGCAAGATCAACTCCTTCTCCATGCCATTATTGCCTCTATGTCACATGTCATTACTCTTTATGTGTCCTCAGCTCCCTCCTCTCATGAAGCCTGGACAATTTTGGAGCGTATGTTTGCGAGCCAAATTCGTCAACGTGTTATTCATCTAAAAAAAACTTGGCTGCGAAACTCTAGGCAATCGTCCCGTCGCTGTCTATCTCTAGGCTATGCACACCACTGTTGCCGAGTTAGCTCTCATTAATGATCATGTGACGAATGAAGACCTCATTCTTTATGTTCTTCGTGGCACCACCATACGTTTTGAAGACCTCCATGATCGCCTCGTCGCCTTTGAGGCTGATCTCGCGACGGTTCGTTTAGCTCAGCCACTCCCACCCACGACTGCCTTCTCCCCCACTCGTGGTCGCCAAGGTTCGCCTGGTCAATACTTTCGCTCCTCTAGTGGTTCTCCTTCAATTATTCGTCTACACGGTGTAACTCCGTTCCATGACCACCTCGTGGCTATTCCCCTTCTCGTTCGCATTCAAGTTCCTCTAGTGATTATCCTGCTCCATCCATTTTGGGTCGTCCACAAGTTCTCTGTCAATTTTGTGATCGACCAGGCTACTCCGCCAAAGACTGCTACCGAATTTGTGGTCATCCCCAGGCTTATCACACAACTGCTACCTCGTCTGCTCCACCTGGTTGGCTTGTTGACTCGGCTTCTACCAACCATATGACTTCGAACCTCGACAATCTCTCTCTACACCGATTATAACAATCCTGATGAGGTTCTTATTGGCGATGAGACTCTGCAAATTATACAAGTTGGCACTTCTTATTTATCTACTTCCTTGTCCAGTCTGGATCTTCATCGTGTGATATGTGTTCCGACTATCAAGCGTAGACTACTCTCTGTTGCCCAATTATGTAAGGACTAATCCTGTGTCTGTGGAATTTTTCTCAGATTTTTGTTGTTTTGAAGGATCTAGCCACAGGGGCGCACCTGTTACGAGGCCATAATAAGGGAGATGACTATGAGTTACTATCAACGGCGAATCCTGTTCGTCTTGCTTTGTCTACTTCTCGTTCGTTCTCTGCTGCGTGGCACAAGCGTTTGGGTCATCCCCACCTCAAGCTGTTATCCTGTGTTCTTCATAATAATTCTTTGCTTGTCACCTCTTTACCATCTAGCTCTCCGTGTAACTCTTGCTCCCTTCATAAAAGCCATAAACTGCCATTCTCCCTATCTAGTTTATCCAGTTCGCGTCCATTTGACTTATTATATATGGATGTATGGGGGCTTTCTACTATTTGTTCGCATGATAATTTTTCATATTGCTTATTCATTGTGAATCATTTCACACGCTATACATGGCTATATCCTCTTTTTCGCAAATATGATGTTCATCATGTTTCACTACATATAAGGCGATGATTGAAAAAAAATTCACACCACTATTCAACGTGTTTATAGTGATGGTGCTGGTGAGTTTCAAAAATTGTGGTCCTTCTTCCAAACTCATGGTATCGCCCATCTTTTAAGGCCTCCACACACTCCTCGACACAATGGTCTGACCGAAAGAAAAAACTCTCACATTGTTGAAACCGGTCTCACTCTCCTCCACAATGCGAACCTTCTTCTATCCTTTTGGTCTCATGCTTTTCAAACCGACACATATCTCATCAATCGTATACCATCCTTGTCGTTAAATGGAGCCACCCCACACTTTTCTTTATTCAATGAGACGCCCAACTATCACAAGCTACGTGTTTTTGGTCATGCCTGCTACCCTTGGCTTCGACCTTACTACCCCAACAAATTGTCCCCCCCCCCCCCCCCCCGCCCCCCGTCTCGACAGTGCGTGTTCCTTTGGCTATTCAACCACCCAAAGTGCCTACTATTGCTATGGTCCACTTCATAAACGCCTCTACACCTCTCGTCATGTCCACTTTGAAGAATCCATTTTTCCTGGCATTTCTTCCCCCACCAGCCCAACCTATGACTCTCCCCATTGGCTTGCACTTACTACACCACCAGTCACCATCATCCCTCTCCCTATAGCCCCATGCGCGCCACCACCTCTCGTTCCACCCGCCGCAGCCTCGACCACCCCGGCAGCTCATAGACTCAATCCCTCCTCTCCTTGGGTCGCGTTTCCTGCTGCTTCTTCTTTGCAAAAAGGTCGGATTCCACCTACGTCTGTTAATTCCTCCCGCCGATCTGTCACCCGAAGTCAACATGGTATATTTCGCCCCAAGAAGCTCTTTTTTTCGCAGGTTGACTCTGTTGATATTGAGCCCACTGATGTCCAGCGTGCTCTTACCGATCCGCGTAGGCATTTCGCTATGAAAGCTGAGTTTCATGCTTTACTCTCCAACAACACGTTCCTCTCCCTTTTGGTGTAAATATTGTCGGCTCTCGCTGGGTTTTCCACATCAAACCTAACCCGGATGGTTCTATCGATCCATTCAAGGCCTGGCTAGTGGGCAAGGGCTTCACTCAATGTCCGGTGGTTGATTTGCATGAGACATATAGTCCAGTGTTGAAACCGGTTACCATACATACTGTGTTTTACCATTGCTCTCTCTTATCAATGACCTATTTTCCAATTTGACACAATGCTTTCCTACAAGGTTCTTTACAGGAAACGGTCTACATGGCTCAGCCCCCTAGCTTTCGTGATCCTAATCATGCTTTTCGTCTCTCTCGGGCGATTTATGGTCTCCATCAAGGTCCGCGATCATGGTACATGGCGTTGTCTGTGTTTCTTGAGCAAGAAGGGTTCATCAAGTATAAGTCTGACGCTTCTCTATTTGTCTATCATCTTGGCGATATTACTCTATACTTTCTCGTCTACGTCGACAACTTGCTTTTAACGGGTAACCATGGCCCCACTCTCTCTCAATTCCAAGCTCGGCTCGCCTCCCGGCTCTCTCTCAAGAGTCTTGGACGTGTTAGCTAGTTCTTGGGCATTGAGGTCTTGCCTACTTCTTCTGGTTATATACTTTCTCAACACAAATATGTGCTTGATCTCCTCCACCGCTTTGGCATGATTGATGCTCATTCAGCACCGACTCCCCTTTCATCAAAAGCCAAGATTTGTCTCAAAGATGGTTCTCCTCCAGCTGACTGCACTTTATATAAGAAGGGTCTTGGTTCCCTCCAATATCTATTGTGCACCCGGCCTGACATTGCTTTTGTAGTCAACAAATTGTCCCAGTTTATGCATGCTCCGACTATCCTCCAATGGAAGCATGTTAAACACCTCCTCCGCTATCTCAAAGGCACTATCTCACTTGATCTTTGCCTAGCACCTGCGGTCTCTAATAATCTTATTGCCTTTGTTGACTCCGACTGTGCTGGTGATCCCGATCATCGTACCTCAACCATGGCCTTTCTCATCTACGACGGCAATCTTATTTCCTAGAAATCTAAGAAGCAGTGTTCGGTTGCTCGCTCTAGTACCGAGGCTGAGTACCGTGCATTGGCTCATGCTATGTCCGAGCTGCTCTGGGTCAAAAACCTCCTTCACGAGCTTCATCACCCAATATCTTCTCCGCCGGTTCTCTACTGTGACAATCTCGGTGCCCTCAACTTTGTTGGCAATCCTATCCATCACTCTCGCATGAAGCATTTGGCACTAGACTACCTCTTTGTCTGCAAACTCGGTCAAGTAGCAACCCTTCACGTCCGTCACATCCCTACCGCTCATCAGTTGGCCGAAGCTCTTACTAAACCGCTGCCCATTACTCGTTTCCAGCTTCTCCGTTCTAAGATTGGCGTCGTTGCTGCCACCGTCTTGCGGGGGCGTGATAAGGATGATTATTTCGTTTAATTCCTTTTATATTTAATTATCTTACGTGGTTGTTAGTAGTGGTAAGGCTGATAGTTTTGTACGTGGGGACTAGAAAGTGTAACAACACCCCTTGTATTGTTATTGTAACAACACTAGTCTTCAACCAATAGGAAGCTAGGGTTGTGTGACTTTTTATTAGTTGAGTTGACCTAGTGTAAAATCAAAGCAGGGGTATACTTGACCCACTCGTCGCCGGAATCTGGTCGCCGGTCACCGAAATATGCTTTTTGTCACCGGAATATGCTATTTTGTTGCCGGAATCCAATAACCATGGCCGGAATATGCCAATCGGCGTTGGAATCTGCTCACTGACAGTCATCGCACTTGATCAACGAAAATCGTTGACCGATCAACGGTCAACGAAAATCGTTGACTGAACAACGGTCAATGACCACCGGATATTATGGTCTCCATTGTGAGATTTATGTTTTGGTTTCTCGTGTTTTTTGTATGCTATTTGTGGTTTGCTTTATCGTGTTTCTGGTTTGCATTAAGAAGTTTCTAGTGTGCTTTAAAAAATTTTGTGGTTTGCTTTGAGGGGTTTCTTGTTTGTTTTTGTGGTTTGTTTACCGTGCTTGTGGTTTTATGAGGTTTCTGGTGTGCTTTCGCAAATGTTGTAGTTTGCTTTGTGAGGTTTGTGGTTTATTTTAGGGGATTTGTGGTATGCATTAGGAGGTTTCTGGTTTGCTTTTTGTGGTTTTTTTATCACGTTTGTGGTCTGCATTAGGAGGTTTCTGGTGTGCTTATGAAAGACTAGTGGTTTGCTTTACCGTGTTTATGGTTTGCATTAGGAGGTTTCTAGTGTGCTTTCCCAAATGTTGTGGTTTGCGTTGTGAGGTTTGTTATTCTATCCGACGTTCCTACCAGATGGATGGAATTAGTAACAATAATTAGTAACAATAATTCACTTTGCCTCCCGTCCCAATCACAAACCTCAAGAACAAGTCCTCCTTCCTTTTCCTTTTTGTCTCCTCTCCTTCATCCGCAGTCCATCTCTGCCACTCCTTAATCTCCGATCCATCCGACGAAACCCTCGGATCTCAGTTCCTCCAAATCCTTCGCATAATCGCGCAAGCCTCTCGCGAGAAGGAGGAGGACGACGACGAAGCGCTGCCACATCTTCCTCCTACTCCGCCTTCGCTCCACCGCCGCGACACTCCTCAATCGGAGGACGATTTCCTCCGAGTCGACCTCGATGGATGGGATTGGAAGAAGAGAGAGCTTGTTCGAGGATAAACGGAGACCATGCCATCTCAGCCACGATCTGCCGTCGATGAAGAAGAACGAGGCAGAGAGACGAGACCGCGATGGAGAATCAGAAAAAATTGCTTGCTTGGTCGTTTGTTGGCGCCAGCGCCGGAGGAAAGAAGAAACAATGGGCTGAAAAGACGACTGAGATCTGAAGGGCATGTTTACTTTCATTTTTATTTCCTGTTTTTGAGAAAACAGATGTTGAAAACAGGTGAAAACAACATTTTGTTGTTTCCGAAAACAGCATGAGGTTGCCACTTTCTGTTTTCATAATTGGAAACGAATAGAAAACAAAATGAAAAGTAAACAAGTTTTCTCATTTCGGTTACCAAATTTATGACATGAAAACAGAAAATAGGAAACGAAAATGGAAGTGAATAGGGCCGAACAATTGGGGATCGAAGGAGAAAGAGAAACACACGTTTCTTGCTTTTTTTTATTCTGTTTCTTGTAATTTTACTCTTATACCCCTGTTGTTACAATAACAACAAAATGAGTGTTGTTATTCTATCCGGCCCCTTTCTATCGTGGGTATTTAAATCCCACTGTCTTATCTAATGCAAACACGATCACTATCTCTCCCAGTGTATACACTTGTGGATATAGTTGTCTTGTTAATTTGGGTCTTTTTTAACCGAAAGCAAATCCACTTAACCTTAACTCTTAATCAATGATGGTTTGTATAATTCTTGAAAAAATTATACAAAGTATACGATTTGTTGCGGAAACATAATGACAAAAAGGAAAAAGTGATTGCTGCTTATTAAATAGTGCAGTCTGCACTCTAAAAATTTGTTGCCCTTTCTATGAGTGGATTGGATGAGATAGAAACATATCGGTCTCGATTAAGCAACTCATTAATAAGTTCAGTACAGTTGCATGATGATGCTCACTCCAATTTAGTGGCGGACAGAATTCAAAAATACTCGTGTCCTATTTTAAGTAAGAATCAACTTGTAATGTAGTGATAAAACATTTTTAATCAACCTAAAAGTCATGAGTTCAATTCTTAAATTCTACATATATGGGGTAATTTTTTTCACCTCCAAAAGTACCGGTGTCTTGGGACACTGCCCGGACCTCTGCCTCCGCCTGTGCTCCAATTAGAGCTGTGAAATATCTAAGCTAAATGACAGAGTAAAATTTGACTCTAATCCGTCGATGCATAGCAACCCGAAAATTTTCTAAGTACACTTCAACTCTTCCTCTAAACATGGATGATGAGAAGGTTATTCATTTCTTTTGTAACCTTTTGGTTGATAGTCTGAATATATAACTTCCCCGTCATTAAGGTTATTTCGCTGGTAAAAGATTGATGAAATAATCATTTACACACTCCATTACCTTCTGATGGCCTTCATAAATCCGATCGTCTTCGGCTGGAAATTTCTTGTTTGTGTTTTGTTGTTGTTGGTGACTTGGTGTAGGTAATAGTGTAAGATCCATTCTTGGATCAATTAGTTCTATTTCTATATATATTATTAGAGTGTTTGATTTAAGGGTCTAATGTTTGAATATCCAAGTTCACCAATATTAATAGTCAATTTACGCATTTGGTAATGAGCACTTCTACTATACTATAAAGCATGGGTGCTTTAATATACAACTTAAAGTTGTACAATAACGTAAAATGTATAAGTTTGGGTTGTACCATAAAGGAATTTGTACCCTTATGTTATGGTACAATTTCACAACTTTAAGTTGTACCACCACATAAAGGTACAAGTTCAAGTTGTACCATAAAAAAAATTTGTAAAATATTATAGGTACAAGCTGCAGTTATACCATAACGTTAAAGGTACAACTTGAAGTTGTACCATAAAGGCAAAAACCTATAACACCAATGCTATATAGCATTGTAAAATTTCTCTTTGGTAATATGGTAGAGCCTCTAGAAATTTAAACTTCAGGGATTGACTTTTGGTTAATGGATAAGGAAATAGTATGAAATTCATTTTTTTTATCTTTCCAAACAAGTCGAACTATTGAGAAGAATTCATTCTCGATTTTTTTATTACCCAGGAACCTCATCCCCACGTGCCACTTTGTGACAGCGGGTCCTACTAAACTTGGGGCACCTGCAATCAAATTCGACGTCAACGGGGCTTCGCCTTCAGCAGCCTTATACCTCCGGGAACACCAACGACCCTCGCTTGTATTCGAACCTGGGAACTGCAACTCCCAAACCTTCACTGTCGCGGCAGCTTTACCATTAGACTATCTTACCTTTGGTACAATTCATTCTCGATTAGCTAGAACTTTATCGTATACCTTTTATATTTCTAATTAATTTAATTTAAGAATTTATGTAATTGGTTTTATATATTGTTTTAGAGCGTGGAAATATTAATTTTCTCTTTCAAGTTATAGAAAATGGATAATATCATGAAGAGCACACATAATTTTAAGTTAAAACAAATAAAACTAAGGGAGGAATGATTCTATATTTTTACATTAATTTGAATTATGCACTCGATCCTTCCAACAAAATGAAGGCACCGTGACAACTATACCGTATATCTCTTTGAGAACCGTGCCATGTATCGAAGTTGCATTGTTTTCTTTCCATCACCAAAAATAACCGCAATGATGGTGTTGTATTATCATCCAATCTGCCTGATTTTTGCAAGGTTGAATTTTGAGACCATCCCCAGCTTGGAAATGGTTGAAATTCTGTTCCAGCTTTTGCCTTTCCATCTCTCAAAAGACAACACCAACTTTTGCCTTTTGTTCCCAATAGCAACCTTACCGCCCTCCAGCACGCCGCCTGCCGCCCCGTCGGCGGTCCGCCTTGTTCAACGATTGATGAGTGTTCGTTTCATTTTTATACATGTTTTTAAACAAACCAACATGATTGATTAGTTAGTGTGAAATTTCATGCAACTTTTATTCGGCTCCACTTTATCGCTTACCGACGCGGTCGAGGATCTATCATGATGCATCAAAAACCCAATTCCCCGACCGCTAACTGTTTGATACGAAAGTCAATTACATGGTGATGATCAAGGTTGTATCTTTTCTTTTATGATTAAGGGGTAAAGTAGTTGTCGGGTAGTCAACCTAATCATGGTAAAAGAGATCAACATGTGTGGTGTTGCGTTGGGAAAATATTTGGTGCAGTCCCTAGCGAATTATATTCACGGTTGAAAGTCTGAACCGAGAGGTTGCAGCATAGATTAAAGGCCCGAACAAATGTTATGTGGTCTAGATTAGATTATTCATGTGCGCTCTAATTTAGTGCGGTATGGATTATAAACCAGAAAGACCATGTTAAGAAAAAAACACAAATAGTTTTTTGATACATCACACAAAAAATTGAATCATTAAAAGTTATTTACTTCTTCCTTAATCTAAATTCCAACATATGTCCATAAAAAAAATTCCAACATATTATCGTGCTACTAAATATTATTTCGCTAACTTAACCTAAAGATTTTCATTGCAATTTTTGAAAACCGTGCCAACATGTTGAAAGTCTACCAGACAAGCAATTTTGGTTAGTTGGGTTATAGGGCTGCAAATGAGTCAAGCCACTCGCGAGCGACTCAACATTTGAATCGGAAAAAACTCATTCGACACTCGGCTTGTTAGTTAACAAGCCGGCTCGCGAGCTGACTCGTTAATAAAAGAATCAAGTTTGAGCTAGACCATGCTCAGCTTGATAAGTTCGTGAGCTAGCTTGACTCGCTGACTTGTTTTGAGCTTGTAGAAAGATTAATTACTCATATGAACATGAGCATTATCTTGTTCATATGGATGTGTATGGAAGTTGGTTGTTATTTTTAGTTTCTAGTGTTCTTTTTATCATTTAAATTCTTATGTTATGTGTACACATTTTTCAACAAGAATGATTTTAGATCGAGCTCATCTTGAGCCTAGCTTGTACTCAGCTTGACAAGTTGTGTTAATGAGCATTTATCGAGCTCTACCGAGTCGAGTTCGAGCTGGATTATATTTAATCGAGCTCGAGCGTCGAGTTCGAGCTGAAAAATTTATAAATGAGCCGAGCTCAAACTAAGCAAAAACTTGACTCGACTCGGCTCGTTTGCGGCCCTAGTTGAGTAGAGGTGTGCTAAGGTACGACGCTTACACCATATCATACCGAACAAAATTTAATGTTGTCTAGTTTTTAGTTGGTTGGTCCCATAAATTTTATTAATGTAGAAGAAAAATGGAACTAATTGACGTTCGGACTGGATGCACATTCAATCCGATCATATATTGTCTTTTACTATTGGGTCGTTGTTCTCAAGAGTATAATCCGGTCCGGAACGAAAGGTTGCACATTCTTACCTTGGCAGGCTAGGCCCATTAAGAATTACTAGCCTAGTGCCGGCCCCATGGCCGGATGCAGCTTAGTTGAGTAACATACAATAGTTGGAGATGTAATTTAGGTGTGTAAATTTTCCGGGCACCACAAAAGTGTGAGAATAGGGGATCCTGTTTTTCATTGTTGCTATTATAGTATGGGTAGTCACTATACATTTATCTTTCAATTATCCTATTTTTTCCTTGCATTCGAACAATGTGAGGGTAAATATGCAGTTGGTGTAGAAATGCAGTGCATACGGTGAATAAATCAGCTGATTACAATATCAATGTATATTCTCTAGTGCATTGTTCAAGAGCTGAACTAAATGGAAGACATACATGTACTTGATATCACAGAAGTATTTGTTCTTCTAAGTCAGAACATAACTACTACATCGCAATAACAATATAAATGTACTTCTTCTACTACCAAAAAGATGAAATGCACAAAATAACATTGGAATTCATATCTTCTAGTTCTGCCTTCCCTTGATTCTTTCTCAGGCAACCAGCTGATTCATCCCTTAGTCTTACCAGCTGAAATAATAACAGAAGTAGAAGCTAATTATTAAATGTAAAGCCTCAGTTGTGTTAATAAATAGCAATATTCTCCTGTAGTTGAAATAAAAAGGCAAGACATGTACCTTCTTCAAATGCAAAATGAGGACAGTGTTTATAGCTTCAGTATAAGATCCAGTAATGGTTGAAATGCTTTTGGATGCCAAATTGCAAACATGCGAATATGTGGTTCAACTTCATATTCTGATCTAATGATGAATACTTCTGCCATGAATTTGATGTTACAGCATTCTTTCAGCAACTGAATTCGCTTGTCATATGGCATTTTT